CGAGGACAGTCGTCGAGAAAATCTGAACGAGCATCAGTTCGACACTTAACATTGAGTATTACGCAGGTAACTGGTTAACATTTATCTCAGTGTGAGTTATACATCCATGCTAGCTTAGTATTTAATTGGTCAAGATATTGTTTACGATGAAAGGACATACGCGTGTTTTTTTTGTTTTCTTTTCTTTTTTTCTTCTTCTTCTCTTCTTGTTGCATTTCATTCAAATCGCGCATTTTTCTTAAAGAAATTCGTGATCGACAACAACCGGAATCTCGTACTCGATCTTTGAAATTAATAAACGAACAGTGTCGCAAATTTAATCGTTCGAGTTTCTAGTTGTTCTCCAAATTATATGTACGCATTTTGTTCATCGAGTTGTTTCAACTTTGCAAACGTTTTTGTACTATGTCGAATTGAAAAGTTGGCGTACTAATCGTAATGCAACTGCGGCACAATTTCTTTGAATTGCGAAGTTAATTCACGATTGATTGTGACGAACGTGGAAAAAAACTTGTGTTAATCCCATTATCCCATTATCAAAATAAAAATTATCGATTAGAAAAGTGATAGATTACGTTCCAGGAACGTTCTCACGTTCGCCTATTATCGTAGAAATAATTATTTGTACGCTCAGTTCGATTTCGCACGTGCGAAATTCGTGCAAAATCCAAAATGGAAATTAATCAATAATTAACAAATTCGACCTCGCGATATTTCATTTTTTTTCTTTCTTTCTTTCTTTCTTTCTTTCTTTCCCCCACGCAGTTTCATTACGATGTTGACGTACGTAGCGGAAGTAGCGTGCTATGAAAAATTTATAGATTCGAGGGAAGAAAGGTCAAAGAGATAATAGGATCCGTGATCAATTAGGCCAATTGCAGTGGTATAACGCGAGTGAAAAGTCGTCATTACGATAGGAGGCAAAAGCTTTTCAGTGTGTCGTTATCCCATTTCTTTCTCTCTCTTTCTCTCTCTCTCTCACACACATACACTCTCTCTCTCTCTCACTCACTCACTCATTCATTCTCTCTATCACTCTCTCTCTTTCTAGAGCGCTACGCATGTCGTCCGATCGTCGATTAGCTGAATGACAATTAATGCTTGCGTTTATTTAATGTACACGTGAAACATCATGGATACGTATATAAAGAGTTTCTCTTATCGTAGGCCTGTGCGAATACTTGCATTTAAATGTCGCGCGTCGATTGGCTCGATGCCGCGGAAATTAACACATTGAAAAGAAAGAAACGTACGATAATCGTATTAATGGTACAATAATGATCGTAAAAAACACCGTTTCATCGGTCGCGATTTCTTCTTCTCGTAGTTTCTTTTTTTTTTTCTTTTTTTTTCTTTTTTTCTTATCTTTTTTTCTTTCTTAATTCGTTTACTTGTTGCAGTCTTAGTGTGTGACGTTGTACGTTCCCCGCGCGCGGATTCTCTAATACGAATAACGTGACATCATGCTCGAAAATTACCGATCTAATTGATACAACTGATGATTTCCCCGATGATATTTTCGTACCCGCTAATTTTCTAATGGATTTTTGGTCGGACTGTACGATCAAGCGTTCGACTTTTCTTTGCTCGTTACCATATCCGATTCTTTAAAAAAAAAAAATCCCTCGATCACGTGTCAAAGTTCAGTGGTAGTAGGCCTTCGATACGCTCCTTTTTTTTTTTCTTTTTATATATATATATTACCCTCGAACGTATATTTGTCTTCCTATCGGATTCTTTCGATGGCTGCGTCTGCAGTCAGTTCATCGCATCGTTCGAGAAACGATTCATTCACGATCGATTTTCATCCAATCGATCTCGTCGCTTGATCTTTATGCAATCGAATTTATGAATCGAAACGATAAATAAATCAACGAAAGCCAATGCAAAAAGTTAAAGGTTTAGCGTTTATTACGTGTAAGAAATTAATTTTAATTGTCGATAACAGAAGAAGTGGGAAAAAATAATTACAAAAAAAAAAAAGAAAAAGAAAAAGAAAGAAAGAAAGAGAAAAGAAATTAAAGATAAGATTAGGAAAAACAATTAACGACGATATTACGTACTAACGAACAAGTCACAATGTACGAGACCCTCGCCGCGCCAACGCACCCCCTCCGAGCAAACGAACAGCCGTAAACGCAGCCACGCGTTCATTACAACTCGTCCCTAAGTGTGGAAAAACCCGAACGCGTCGAGTACAGAGAAACAACGATGGGAACGCGATCTGTGAACAACGCGTTCTCCCTTCTGACAATGTAAGAACGGAAACCGAAATGAACAAGAAAAACGTGTGCGTCGTCGATTACGATTGTGTTATGCTGACTAGAGTCTAAATTATTCTTCTATACACACCTATCTCCGTTATCCTCCCGAATTAATTATGTATAATATTTATATATGTATAAACGATGCATCGAACCGATACCAAGTGTTGGAGGATCGATCGATGCACACGCATCTCTCTCCGTTTGCACGCTCCTATTTACTTTCTCACGCACACGCGCACTCGCATTCTCTCTCTCTCTCTCTCTCTCTGCTCATTTTTATATATCATTCTTTTGTATCCGTATAGGTACATTCAGAATTTACGGTGCTTATCGTAAAATACAGTACAGTATTCGTATTCGATGCCATTCGACGAGGTACCGTGGCAACATGCAAGGGAAGAAAATCTTCATTTTCGATCGATCGTTCCTTTTCTTTTTTTTTTTTCCTTTTTCTATCCTTTTCAATTTTCCTCCGTGTGCCGCGATCGATAGGAGGGACTTGGAATGACGGTGTCCACGCGAGTTTTGCCCACAAAACTATCACACGGCCAATTCTCGAGAACACCCGTGGAAACGCGCGTGCATGCATGCCAATTACGGTATCTCGCGTGGCAACTACAATGCGTAGTTTTCACTCATATTATAAATATCTGAATATAATATATATATATATTTATATATTTATATTTGTATTTATATTTATATATTTATATATATATATTTATATATATATATTTCATCTCTCTTTATGTATATACGTTTATGCGTTTTGTCGTGTGATCCTTACTCGCTCGTTTTAAGCAATTAACAACAGTCGGTTGATTCGGTGGTGCGCTATATTCATTTTACTGCTAAAACAGGCTAAGACCAAGTGAGCTCGTCATCGTTCATCCTCTATGGACTTTTATAATCGGTTTTACAATGTGCATCCGTGGTTTTGTGTACAATGTGCATATCTATATGTATACGGTGTATAGTTGGCATCCAGACACGTCTTTGCACGAGTCAACAATATTATTATTCTCGCTTTCTAATTTATCCCTAATTACAATAACGGAACCGATATTACATTATTACTATTATCATTATTATTAATATTATTACTATTGTTATTAATATTATTTTTATTATTATTATTACTATTCTTATTATTATTATAATTATTATTATTACTATTATTATTATTATTATTCGCGTATTGTACAGACATATTTAGCTTTTTCTCGTCGTAGGGAGGGATTCGCTGGTTCAATCGGTCCACAAGATTGAAATTATCTACTTTCGCGATGCCTCCCCATCCTACGCTCACGAGGAGGAAGACATCGTGTTGTTTCCGTCCAGCCCGAGTTTCTCGCGTTTATCTATGCTTTTATTTCAATTTCGGGTAATACACACGCGAGAGAACCAATCACCGTTTCGTTCCCTCTCTATCGATCAATTTTCGTGACGAAAATATCTCGGCCGAGATATTTTCTTTCCCTCGAATAATTCACGCCGCGTTTATTTAAGTTTATTAAGAGGGAGACGAACGCAGTCTTCGATCGCGAATACCCGCGAATTAATTACGACGGTGCTCGGAACTGGACGTCGGCTCGGTTTCTCTGATTCGTCACAAGCCTTCTTCCATCGCAAGGCTCGAAGCGGTTATGCTCGCTCGGTTGAATGAATCATCGACCAACGTTTCTTTGTCTATCGAAACGATACTAGACTTGATCTCGCGATCGTGTACCGATGAAAATCATGAACGAACGTCTAACGATCGAATTCTCTTAACGAAAAAAAAAATATTCGCGGTGATGGAAGAAAAGAAGAAAAGCGAAAGATCGGGAAATCGAACGTCGTATAGTCGTACAATCGTTTTCTCTCTTTTACTGTTCTTATACCCCTCTCTCTTCTCTTTGCTTAATTACGTTTTCGTTAATTATGTTTCTTAGCTTCGCTTCGAAACGTGTCCGAAAGTTAGAAAAAAAAAAAAAAAAAAAAAAAAAAAAAAAAAAAAAAAAAAAAAAAAGAAAAGAAAAGAAAAGAAAAATACAATTCGCCGAATTTAGATTTCAATATTTCTAATATTTATTATCTCCTATCTTTCCGACACGCGAACTATACTTAAATCTTAAATTTTATTTTAATCTTCCTTCGGGATCCTTGAATCAATTTTGTTTCGATCGTGTTGCGCGATTAAATTTTTTTCGATGAAGAATAAATATCGTCGAATAATAATTTTAATAAAATAATCGATAAATGACGACAAACTGATTTCGCCAGTAAAAGAAGACATTTGATTCTTCGTTTTTCATCGCGTCGATTCGGACCGAAGGAAGAAGCAAGCTTTTACGTAGTTAAATAGGTTATATTGACATCGAGTTATTAAAAAAAATCGATGACGAATTTAAAAAGATCGTTCAGTCCCGGATTACATACGTTACATACGTCTTATCAAAATGGACACGATTACATATATGTACATGCACACACACACACACATATATATTATTTCTTCTTCTCTCTCTCTCTCTCTCTTTTTTTTCTTTTTTTCAATTTTTTCCTTACGTTTTTTTTCTTCTTTTTTCCTCCTTTTTATTAATAATCACGTCGTCGATTTATTAATCAGCAGTAAAAGGTAAAAACGAAGGACGATTGATGATCGTTCGTCAACGATTAGTCACGATATATATATATATATATATATATATAAGACGGTAGAAAAACACGCACAGTAGATGGATCGAAGGTGTCACAGGCAGTTTTCGTTTCCGTATCACGTAACGTTGTCTTAATTATACGGTACAAGACTATATAAGAATTTTAGGTGAGAAAACAGTCTTACGGATGGTAGATTCGATAGAAAAATGATCGCGCGGCAAAGGAACTCGTGGCCAGAATAATATACTCGGGTACAACAAAGTGTTCAATTTTTGTGTTTTTCTGTTTTTTTTTCTCTCTCTTTTTCATTTTTTCTTTCTTTTTTTTTTTTTTCTTTTATATCACAATAAAAAAAAGTCTCACTGGATCACATGATTTTGAACAGCATTAATCGTATAAAAATTGCTGAATCGTCGTTGATATACCGATTTAGGTTATCTCCGATATCACCGGAGCGAGGATTTTTGAGGATTGGAAATTAATCTCGTTAATTATCGAAATACCGTCTCGAATAACCATAGATTTTCGACGCTCCGAATCGGACAAATCGAGAAAAATTGCACAGGGCAACGAAACTTCACGCGCGATGAAGAAAATTCTAATTTACACTTTATCTTTGCTGCGATACATCTTTCACGTTTCGTTTAATTCGAATGTTACACGTTAGAAAGTGGATTACGACATTAATTAATTAGAAGGGAAGATAGATAGATAGATAGATCACGTTTGCTCGTCTCTCTCTCTCTCTCTCTCTCTCTCTCATTTTCATTCTCTCTTTCTCTCTCGCGCGCAGACACGAAACGTACGTAAAAACAGATTTCACGCTCGCTAGCTGTTAACTATTTTTCATCGAGTTAATTTAACAGCGATTGAGCCACGATTCATCACGGTTTATTACCATTCTCATCGATCATGATTAATCGTATATAATAAATGCTCGCAAATGTCTGAACGACTTTGATCGCATCGCACTTCGCACGATTTTCATATAATTCCTTCGATACTTTTACTTTCTTTTTTTCTTTCTTTTCATCTTTTTCTCTAAACGTTTTTCCTTGCTTCCCGCTGAATATTTAAACCTCGAGAAAATCGAATGGAGGCACGACGACGCGTTTACGTTTACAATATTTTTTTTTTTTTTTTTTTGATCCTCAATTCCTTGTGACATTGCATATTCGCTGCGATGAAAAGAGACAGAGGGGTGAAAGGGCGTCAATATAGGAACGCTTCAACGAAATTCGACGCTACGCTGTCCTCTAATCGCGTAAATTCACAAATTGACGATGACAATAAAAAAAAACGTGCACGACTGTTCCGCGTTCGATCGCTCGATCTTGCTCGGCTAAAGCGACAAAATCGCTTTTAGGAAAGGACTTAAAACGAAACGAGAATAACGAGTATAAACGATTCTTTGGTAAAGAAGTGGTCGAATGATCCAACTTGCATATTAGTACGCATATTACGCGTGTAAATTTAAATATACACGCGTATTTACACGATGCATGGTCGCCGGTGAAGTGTCGCGTGTACGCGCGTAAGTGCGAGTAAGTGATTATGTAAGTGTGCACGTATGCGAGCGAACGGTATGTGTGTGTATGTGTGTATCGGTGTATGTACATACAAAAAAGAAGAAACGAGAGAAGTGTACACTCACGCTTGACGAACGAAGTTAAACGAGGATGCCCATGTGGTGGCGTGCGTTAACAAAATGATTTTTGGCACCCAACGTCACCGAGAAACGGGAACCTTCGTTTCGCGTTATTTCTTTTTATTATTTACGCGTGTACGCGCACGACGTCCGACATCCTCGAGAGCGTACGCGTACACGCGCGTATATCTAACGATTTATTATTTACAGTATAACTGAGAGAGAATCCTCTTTAGGCTGATCCCACGATCGAATAGCCGTTATTCCGTTTGTGCGAAGACGTGTCCAATTTGGAACTCCTTGCGCTGTGGCCTATACGCGAATCCATAGAGAGAAATAATTATAATATGATACAATTTTGACGGTTGAAGAGGCGATACAAGAATATTCGCTGAATATACGCGAAGGGATGGAAAGGAAAACGTCGAAATGGGTGGAGAAACATACTCACAGAATCAGGATTACACTTCGGGCAGTGAGGAGCTCGATCGGTTACAGCGGCTCAGACCGGTTCGAGGAAACACTGCAACCGAAGATCGGCAGGCATCATTGAGGTAACATCTTACAGCTCGACTCCATACCCTCTGGTCTCATACGCATGCTGCCGTTCGTCACGTAACCGTTCGCGTCAACAATAACTGAGACACTGCCCGGATGATTGTGATAGCTTACGTTCCGATGGGTCATCACGATGTTTTTCTCGTGCTCGTTCCCCGTATGCGTGAACATACAGCTATCGCTGCTTCTGCTACTGCACGGTTCCATCGAGTGGTCCACACGAATCGGGATAGAATAGTCGGACATAGAATTCACTTCCACCGTCGCGTATTCCCTGATCATCGTCGATTTCGGGGAATAGTCCATCTGCATGTGTTGCATCGACGAGGTGGCCACGTCCGCCGGATCCGTTATCGTCGACACGTGGCCGTTCGCCATCGAGTACAGATCCGGCTCGTCGTGAGCCTTCGACGACAGCATAGTTTCCAGACATTGGTACAGCAACGCGTAATCCTCCTGCGAGAAAAACGATCTCGAAACAATTTTCGAAAAGGAAGATTTATAGATCAGAAATGTACGAAATTGTGCTACCTTTGACCGAAACACTCCGGGTCGCTTCATGTACAACAATTTCGCGAACATATAAATATCGGCACTCTTCTCGAACTCCAGTTGCTTGTTCAATGTCGTGAGTAAAATGAAGATTGCAGCCTCGACACCACCGAACCTGATCGTCGATCGATGTTATTTTTATTATTGTTTATTCGTTACAAATAGTTTATAGAGAAATCGAATGCGAAAGATTCCGTCGTTACCTATCCATTACGACGATAGGGCCGTTCTGGTAATCCCGATGTAAATCGTGGATCAAGGTTACGAGGGGTCGCGGGTTGGCGTTGTGCGGCCAGAAGCCTGGCTGGGATCGCGGCCCTTGCACGATTTTGGCACTCAACTCGTAATCGTCTTGCAGAGATCGGACCGCCACTTCGCGCAGAATCATTCCACTCGCGGTTTCCTTGATCCCGCACGATCGCACGCGAAAAGTCTCCGACTCTAAATCTTTTCCCTCGGTAGGCCAAAATTCGGGATACTCCTGCGGATCGATTTGAAAAAAATTTTTTTTTTTTTTACCGCGTATTTCGATCGTGGAAATATCGGGAAACGAACGATTTATCTACCTCGTCGCATTCGGTTAACATAACTACAGTTTGCGCGTTGTAATCCCACATCATCTGCCAGAATTCCATTATTGTATTTTCCATTGGGTGTTGGGTGATGATAAACTCACGATTGCGATGGAAGCCTGAGAATATTGAGAGAATATGAATTCGCTTTGCATGTTCCAAATTAACAACACAGATTCGTCATTTACCAGCAATCCACGTAGCGTTGATGTAATCGCTCCCATCGATCCCGGGCTTCGGCGTCAAGTGAACGCGAGCCGTTTCGATCGAAATTACGTCTTGATTGCGATTTTTATGAAGATTGCACGGTTTAATCGCGGACACGAGGTTGAATTCTTTCGGTTTCCACGAAGTCACCAGCTAAAAAAGAAAAAGAATTAAGATATTGGAGAAAATCTGGGGAATAAGACATTTTATTGTACAAATGTACAACCTTGTACTGAGCTTCAAGGTTGTTCCACGCATCTGTATTGGTGTTGTTGGGACTCAACATGTCTTGCACATATTCTAATAGATTGTTTTCCTCGATATTGGTTTCACCGCTTTCAATAGCCTCTTGCAAAGCGTGATGAATGAACACATATTGTTCCTCGGTCTGAACCAAGAAGTTTCTCTGTGTACGAATGTGCTTTAGAAATCCAAACACGTTCACTTCGTTCTTGCACTTAGCCTGCTTCAGCATGGCATCGATAACAATGTAGGTACCCGTGCGGCCAACGCCAGCGCTGAAAAGACAACGATTTCGATTCGCGTTTACACCTCTTATACTCTCCCTCAAAATGATCGATGGATTGTTTCTCGTACCTGCAATGAACAACAATAGGCCCGGCATCCGGAGGATTAGCGTTGGAAGATTTTCGGATGAAGCTTAAAACAGGTAACGGATGTTCAGGTACCCCGTGATCAGGCCATCCAGTGTAATGATATTGCCAAATTATACGTTCTCCCATGTTAACTCCATTCTTCCTTTTCTTCACCTTATCGTCAACAAAATTGAAATAATGAAATCATCGTGAGAATCAATTAATTCTCAATGTAAATTATGTATACCAACCTTCATGTGACGAATTTGAAGAGTACGAATGGTATACGTAGCCATAACGTCCTCCCTCAGTAGCGTCACTTGAATACACCCGTACGTCTCAGACCCCTTCTTAGGCCAGTACATATCACATTTTTTCTATAAACGAGCGAAACAGAGAAAATTATCTACATCTGTCTACAAAATAAACGAACGCAATTAACGATACTCACGCGACCACGTTCGACGAGATTCGTAATCATAACGATGATCGATACTCTCTGCTCCCACACCATCCGCCAAAATCCATCGAAAGTCGGTGGCAACGGACCCTGCGTACCGATGTACGCGCGAGTACGCTGCCAACCATCTATGTAATTCGCGTTCACGTAATCGTGACCCTTCTTCGGCGGTCCTCCGCCGCACGACAATAACTGAACTCGCGTGTGATCATCTGTGAACAGAGATTTCCTTGTATTTATCGCGTGGAATACTTATAGCGAAATATTGAAAAAAAATAAGAAAAAATCGTCCAGGTGATTCTCCTCTTCTTTCTTCTCTCTCTCTCTCTTCTTCTTCTTCTCTTCTCTTTCTCTGATCTATCAGCATTGATAGGCATTAACAAGCAGTGCCGCGAAACATCTGTGACCTCATTGTCGAGTGCTGCCAGTCATTCGCATTAAAAACGATCGAGAGTAGCTCGTTAATCCGATAACATCGCGAAACTGGCCGAGAGGCAAGTGTCTCGCAGCATCGCGAATTTTGACTACATCCAATAATCGTTGGATTTTAGTTCTAGACTCACTCAGTTAATATCTTCCTCTTATCTTAAAAACGTTATCGATACGTTATCGATAATAAATTGGCGAGAGATTTTTCATTCGACATTTTTCCAGAGAGAGAGAGAGAGAGAGAGAGATTACGAAATCTTATCGCGTTAGAACGATATTCGGGTGTTTCAATTGAATACGATTATTACGAGCGCATGAATGGCGAATGAAGGTTGAATCTTAATGTAACGTGCACTTGATGCGCGCTTATCTTCATTAATAGACGGCCTTGATTCCATCATATGATAAGGAACGATCGATTATCGGGAATAACACAGGAATTTTCTTATCGAGGAACATGAGTAATAAATCTAGCGAAGGAAAGGTGACGGAATCGTTTCGATCGATATTAGAAAGGAGAGAGAGGAGATGACGAGGAGACGGATTGCGTCCAGAGGGGCGAGCGTCGAAAACGAGGATCGTTTCGTTCGTAAAATGGAAAGCGAGCTGGTTCACTCGATTTCGGAGCTCCATTCAAGATAGATCGTCTGTGAAGAGGACGGCGCGAGGTCGAGCCGCGACGATTCGTCGACGACGATTGCGGACTTCCGATCCCCGCGATTACAATTGTCGCATTGTCCGTTTCTGCCTCTGCGTACGCGAAACCTTGCGTGTGCCCGATGACGAATAAGAACGTAAGTAAGGACGAACGGAATGGAAGGAAAACCTTGAGGAAACGGAAACGTGCCGGTTGCGAGTTAATCGATTAATCGGGGCCGCTCGATCTCCGTTTCGCCGGGAGGAGAGATAACGTCCACGATACGGACGAACGGATAGAACGAAATTAAACGTCGCGATATATCGCGAGGATGAAAGGGAAACCGGGTTTAAAAATAGAAGCTCGACGCTGGTGGGCCGGGAGAAGAAAAACAGGAGCGGTGGACCTGTCGAAACCATCCGTGCGCTTCGATGGAAATAAAGTTTCGTTCCACGAAGTGATTTCGTTCCGCTGGAAAAAAAGAAAAAAGGAAAAAGAGGAAAAAAAAAAAAAAGAAGAAGAACGTTCTACACGTGCGCGTAATGGATGCGATTACTCACAGGCTAATATGTTCAAGTATCGGTTCTTCGCTTTGTTCTCCACGTATTGGGAATTCTCCGCTGTGAATTTGCCGCTCTCCGATTGAATGAACTCGTATTCCTTGCTGAATCCGATGTCCCCGTCCGCGTGCAGACTCGCGACGTGTTGCACGAACTTCTGAATGGCGACCGCGGTACGCTCGCCGTCCTGTTCGCTGTTCTCCCATTCCTGAAGCGTGGGCACGTTGCGAGGTGGATAATCGAGGAAGTAGTACGCGGTGTGGAAGCATTTCCTGAAAATTGGCCTCAGGCAAGGCCTAATGAGTTTCGTCATAAGCATGCATTCCGAACGAAAAAACGTGAAAGACGGGCCAGAAAGGAGAAGAAGGAAGGGGAAAAAAGACGGATACAAGAAAAAGAGAAAACGAACATCGAGAATACGAATCTTTCTTTTTCTTTTTCTTTTTTTTTTTTTTTTTTTTTTTTT